ACAGTGACTGTTCTCAGCAAGTTCATGGTGTGTAGCCCCAATGTCACCAATGTGACCACCTGCATGGTGTCCCACCCAGCTGGGAACTGGAGCCAGTCCATATCCTGCTGTGCCTCAGGTGAGCTTCCCTTTTTATGTGTGATCAAACTCCTGTTCAGCTTTCTCAGCTCTTTTTCCTTCTAGGAAGGAAAGTCTCTAAAAGATACAGAAACCCTCCGTGAAGCTCTATAAAAGACAAGAGTATCATCCCTAACTGCCTTTGCCCAGAAACATCACTGGACACTATTTCCTAATGCTTTCTTCCCTAAGATATATATATATATATATATATATGTATATATACATATACATATTTATTTATTTATATATATATATATATATATATATATATATTTATATATATATATATATATATATATATATATTTATATATATATATATATATTTATATATATAAGTATGGTAGTATTCTTTTGGTAGTGGAAATGTTTTTGGAAACAGAGAGAAAGCAGTCATGATCTTTGTGTTCAAATGATCATTTGGAATGAGAATATTAGAATTTTTTTTTTTTTAATGCAAGTTTTTCTGTCATGGAAGACAGATGGAGAGCCAAGTCTCGAGTGGCTAGTAGAAAACAATACATTTCTTCATTCCAAGTTGTGAGGGTCATACAGTGTATGACCCTTGGGTTCTAGTCTTTGGTTTTCTTGTTGCTTTTGAGAATATATATGACTAATGAGAAATGATGAGTCCTTGAGAGGAACTCAGGTGTGGCTTAGTGAAAATATATTATGAGTGGCCACTTTGAGATTTGCGGAATCTACTTTTGCCTCTGATACAGACTCCATTTGTGTTTCTCAGCATTTTCATTACTAAGTTTCCCTTCTGCTGAAGGACATGCTATTTGTTTTACAAGCATGCTGAAGATGCATGTATGTGCTAAATCAACTTTAATCTTCTACTGAAATAATACAGAAACTGAGAAGAAGATATAACAGACTGTCTCGTTATGTTTAGAGAAAACCAACACCAACGTTTTCCTGTATGCCTGCATCATTACTTGTGTTCTGATCAGTATCACCTTGTTGGCTGTCATATGCTATTTCAAGCTCCACAGTGGTAGGTATGTATGTATGCTAACGTGCTAAGGAAAAATTGTCTAGTGATAAAATAAATTTTAAAGTACTCTTTGTGTCTTGAAATCATATGATTCTGTCAGTCTGTGCCCCAAATTAGCTACATCAAATATTTCTGTACTGCAGACACTATGCACTGTGCCTTGCACACATCTTCACTGAATAATGCCCCTGAGTAAAATATAAATGGGAAAAAGTTGGCCAAGGACCCTGATTGCATTGCCTCCTAAAGGGAAACACTTCATTCTGATAGGAATCTGTGAGAGTAAATCTTCTTCAGATACTGTCACAGTCTGCCAGTATCTCTCTCAGTTAGGTCAGGGCATTGGTTCTGCTGCCTAATAAGTTCCACTAAATTCCAGAGGACAGAGCAATGCCAGTCTGCCATATGAACAAAAGGGACAGTAGATTCTATCTGTATTTATTAAAAATTTCCTTCAGTGAAGCTGGGCTGTAGTCCCTTTAGGATTTCATATGAAGAAAAAAAAGTAGTTCTGAGGAATACCTATAGAAATAATTTGTGGAGTGAAGGCTGAATTAGCACCTCTACTGAAAATCTCACCTAGGTTCCTCATTTGCCTGTTACAAATTGTTTTTCTCTCAGACCTCTTCCTTCAGAGGTGAAGAATTAGATCAATAACATTTCATTAACTGCAAAATGTATATCCTTACAGAGGGCTTTGATTCTAAGCTGCTTCCATTTTATGTATAAGCACCCACAAACATAAGAAAAGACCTCTTAAGGAAGGTAGGGTGATATAATTTCAGGATCAAAAGTCAAGGTGAGAGAGAAATGAGGTTTTACTCTTAAAGAAAAAGAAATGTTTCATAAACTTTTGATCAAAGAAACCAATCTGTGATCCAGGCAAACATGTTTTAATACTTTTCTTTTTTCATAGACCATGCCACAAAACCAAACCTCCTGAAATTGCTCCTATACATTCCCAACAGGTAAGGAGAATGATGCAAATTAGACCACCACCAAATCATGGTGATTTTGGTAGCCCTGGAAACATGATCAGTGAAAGGAAAACATTAGATTTTTACTCTCAGCTTTCAGCAAGCACTACTGTGTCTGATATATTTAATCCTGGCTCTTTATAGGATGAAGCGAAGCTTATCTTCACCATAACTTTGACTTGGAGCAAACACCAGAAGTGTGTTCCAACAGCAAACACTTGACTAAAGCCATCCTTTAATTTTAACAAGGAGTCAATCCCACCACATTTCCCTTGTCATATCAGATACTCTGACCACAACTGCTCTCCAAATAATAGTCAAGAAGGGAGACAATAGCATGGGTTGGAGGATATTAAGAAAACTATTAGTGAACAAGAAGATTAAGCAACAAGATTAACAGACACCAAGAGAAAAAGAATATCCCTTTTGGTGTCCAGAATGAAAATTGTGTGAATTTTGAAGGCCACTCTTTATCTTGAATGGTCAATCCACAATCAAAGAAACAATCATAGTCAAGACATTGGAAGGAGAACTGAGCTGCAAACTGGGAGATATTTTTGTATATCCTATGTTGTTAGAAGCTTCCTGTGTAGCTGAGCAATTCACTTGTAAGCTCTGTCTCTGTTCTCTGCTGTCAAATCCAAATAACAGCATCTCTACGCAGACAAGATGTGTTACTATTATATTGGATCTGTGCACCTACATTATACACTAGACTCAAATTCTATCATCAACTTTAAAAGATGCTTCAGTTTCTGGAGAGACTTAGTCAATTCTATTTATTAGTATTCCTGCTGTTCTGCTGCCCTCCCTCCCAGCTGTTGCTGGCAGACATAGTTGCATTTATGTAAAATAATTGCTCACGTACCAGCATTTTTGCTGTCATGTCATGGGACTTTCATCAGCATGTCTGTAGACTGAAAGTGCAGACTGATTAGAAATGAATCAAGGTCAAGAATCCAGCATATTATTTGCTCTTTCTAGAGAATTAGACCCTAATAAAATTTTTTTCAGGCCAACAAAAGTGGAATAGAAGGGAAGATAAAGGAGGAAAGGGAAACAATACCTCAGTTTCACCCTCCAAATCTTTGCTAGAAACAGCAATCCATGTTCCCTGGTAGAAAAAGAAATAGAGAGGTTTAGTTGAAGTGGAGTAAATATGAGAGCACTATTTCCCAGTTATTTTCTTCAGTCCAGATGAAAGATTTGCAGAGTCTTGCCAAGCTAAACTCCTCCTTGTATTCACAGTTTTTGGTTTTGTTTTGTTAGGATGACACAATGGAAGTGGAACCTTATACTACTTATGTGCAGAAGGAAAATGTAATTTACAACTCAGTGTCTGATCTGACAGTGGGGCAGAATCTTCCACAAGACCTGTGTCCAGGAACATGAATGATTCAACAACACCAGAAAAGGAAAGAAATTCTTTATAGAAGACTGGTTATAGAAAGAAACTTCTCAGAGGATTTGTTCAGATTTTGGGGCAGCATAGGTCTGTTCAAACACCTCTGCTTGCTGATGAGTCCATAGTTCTTTTTTTCTCCCTGTTTTGCTTTCCTCCTTGGGAAAATGTGTTATTCCTTGGGAAGATGTGACTGATCACACACCGTAGTGTTTCCTGAAATAGAAGTTGTGACCACTCTTCCCTTCGTTGTTGTTGCCTTGGGATGTTAGTTCTGTCAGTCACTTGTAGTTGTTACTTTGATGCACCTGACACTATGATGTACACATTTGGGAGACCAGAGTGTTCTGTCTGAACTGAAAAAAAACCACTCTTCCACCAACAGCCACTTTTTTCTAATACATATATTAGTAACACATGACCTGTTGACCTACTGATCATCACTGAGTACCTCAAATAGCAGAAGATAATGGCAGGGAAGACTTAGTCTGAAAATGGAAATAAGGGATAAATTTAGAAGGTCCACTAAGAAGGAGACTGCACTAGCATGACTAATCGACTTGTTAGGTTCATATCCAGTATTTCGAGATGCCATTATGGGGTGCCATCCAGAACAATCTGGACAAGGTTGATAATGGGAATCTCATGAGATTTAACAAGACCAAGTGCAAGGTGCTACACCTGTGTTGGGACAACCCCTAGTATCAACAGTGACTGGGGCATGAACAGATTGAGAGCAGCCCTGCTGAGAAGGACTTGGGGTGGATGAAAGGCTGGCCATGACCCAGCAAAGTCCACTTGCATCCCAGAAAACCAAACGTGTCCCGGGCTGCATCCAAAGCAGTGTGGCCAGCAGGGGAAAGAAGGGATTCTGCTCTTCTGCTCTGCTCTTGTGATACCTCACCTGCAGTGCTGCACCCAGCTCTGAAGTCCCCTGCACAAGCAGGACATGGACCTGTTGGAGCAGATCCAGAGGAGGCCATCGATATGATTAGAGGGATGGAAAACCTCTCCTATGAGGAAAGGCTGAGACAGTTGGGATTGTTCAGCCTGGAAAAGAGAATGCTTTGGGGTGACTGAATTGTGGCATTCCACTAGAGAGGAGAACCTGCAAGAAAGACAGAAACGGACTTTTACAAGAGCATGCAGTGACAGGGCAGCGGGGAATGGATTCACACTGAAAGACAGTAGGTTTAGATATTAGGAGGAAATTCTTTCCTTTGAGGGTGGTGAGACACTGGAGCAGGTGCACAGAGAGGCTGTGGATGCCCCACCCCTTGATGTGTTCAAGGACAGGTTGGATGGAGCTCTGAGCAACCTGGTCTAGTGAAAGGTAAATGTGCCAGTGCCTGGGGGTGGACCTTGATTGTGAGGAACTGCATTGACTTGTTTGTTCATCAGAAGTATGAAATTAGGATAAAAGGGGGGGAAGTCGGGACATGGAATTTGCAGGCTTGACTGGTAACCACAAACAAAGATTGTGAAAGATTTTGCAGGACTGGCTGGAACTGATAACCGCAGTGGAAACCCATTGTTGCTGGAACTGATAACCACGGTGGAAGGAGACCCATCACCCCCACTTATGCAGGATAAAAAGGGACTGAAGAGAAGGAAAGAGGGTCAGCTTTTGGCGGAACACTGTCTCCGCAGCTGCACCCAGCGCTGTTTGCTTGCTATGGCTTGCTGTAATTAATAAAATTATGAATTGATCTTAAAAGGCTGAATCAAATTATTCACCTCAATTTATAACATTGATGATCTTTGAGGTCCCTTCCAATCCAAACCACTTTATGATTTTGTGATTTCCATTAAATATGTTCATTCTGTGTTTCAGATCACTGGTATGATTATTTTTCTATAAGATTCCATGAAGATATTGTATTCTTCTCTTTCTTAAAAGTATAAGCATTAAGATATTGTAAAATACTTACGTTACTCAAAACCCATAGTCTACTTTAACCAAAAACAAACATAAAATATTTCATAAAACAAAACAAATACAAATATATCTTCTGTAAGTGTGCAATAATGTTTGCAAAAAAAAAAAAAAGAAAAAGTTTGCTAATTGTAGTAATATTTATTTTTACTACCAAAACTGAAATTTTGTTTCATTTGTATGTCTAGATATTTTACTGATATTCTTTTCAATGTACTTGCACATTCACATTTTTTGTATGCAAATTAGCTTTGTATCTTATTGTGTCTCATTTTGAGGTGACTTATTCTTACCTTCACAAAATATCCCTTGGGGATAAGTAAAATAAATTTTCCTCTATATAATAGCAGTTCTCAATTTTTTTTGATTGATGTCTTTCTAGCTAAAGTATGAACTAACTTTACAGTAAGAGTAAAGAAATATGTTTATAAACCTCTGTTGACTACCTCTTATTTCAGTATTTTAAAAGACTGGGTAAGTGGTCTGATTGCAACATCAGAAGAACTGGATTTTTCCTTTAGATTTAGAAATATCTATTGACACACATTGTTAGAGCTTTCTTTTGAGCTAAGCTCCCAAGGACTATGACACAGTGCTTGGAAAACAGAATTCTAAACTGACTGCAGTTCCTAAATGTATTACTCACGTGAACTGATACAGTTGGTTATTTACTCTCACTCTAGCAGCTATCAAACAGCCACTCTTGTCCAGGTGCCCTCTGCAAGCAAGTATTGCTTTTCTCCATTTCTGCATGTCATTTTAGAGTGGAAGGGATCAAAGCTGAATATCAAGCAGCTACAAACAACTTTTAAAGGAACTTCAGTTTCCAGTGACTGACCAAGGAAGAGAGCCAGTCAACACAGGCATAATCCTCTGAAATTCCTCACTTAAAATTCTTATACTGACCAGAGATCTTTTTTTCTTACTCAAAAACAGAGTGCCATCACTTCTTAAGGCTTTTTTTTCTGTGGGCTGGAAAGTCTTTTATGTTGTTCAGTGTTCATCAGCTCTTGAAGGTAAATTGTCACCAGTTTACAAGCAAGATGTATTATATTTACAGAAGTGTATCACCTGCTAACCTACTGTCTAGCTGTAGGGTTTTATCATCCTTCACAGGCCTATCACACTGGGCCAAATCACATAAGTTCCACACCTGGACATTCCTAAGTTGCTAATTGGTTGATTTATTTTCTTTGTCCTTTACTTTGTTACACATTCACACCTGCTATGGGCAGAGAATTTTAGTTTGTGACTATGATAAATAATATTGAGTTAAGAATCTTATGTATACACACATATATATACACATGCACAGAATTCTGAAGCAGAGAGTCCCTTTGTGCACTCCTCTTTCTCCCTCAAGGTGCTTGCTGCTCCTCTGTGCACTGTGCTGCTGCTGTGGTGCAGACATCCTCCACACTAAAGTGCTGTGTTGGCTGATTCTTAGCAGTCAGGCCAGCCTGCCCTCTAAACTCCCCAGGATGTTGCAAAGTCACAGGAAGAAAGTCAGCAGCTTTTCAGCTCATCCCGTACAGAAAGGTTTTGGCTTTCACCACATTTACCAATGCTCTATCTCATGCCGCAACACTGAATTTTGGTAAATTTGCATCTTGCACTTTTACTGCTCTATTTTATCTTCACACACACGTTTCGGTCTCCTGACAGGTTATAACTGACATTCCTGCTCTAAACAAGCAGTTAATGCTCACAGTTATCTTATGACTGTAGAGAGTCCCGAGCACCCAGCTCACACGCGCAGCACAGCTGTGAGCTGATTCTCTGCTGCTGTGCATCCAGAGGGCAGCTGCTCACCTCTTCTTCAGGATGGCAGTGGACTACCAAAAAATGGATGCACTACAAATCCTGAGGCTGAACATAGCTTCTGTACATGCATCAATTTCTGTGTCTCTAACTGGAAATTGTTTCACAGGAACAAAGTCAAGCCCTTCATCACCACAACAACATCTAAGATTTGGTTAGATTGCAAATATCAACTGAAAGGTCATTATATCCTCACTTACCTGCTTCAAACAGCTTTCCTAATAACAGAGTCTAGTAAAAGTGGTTTTCAGAACATTAACCTGTCTCTGAATCCCAGCAACTTGCAAGATTTACAATTATGTTCTCCTGCCAGTATCACCTACTCATATTTGAGGGTTCACTACTTACAGCCTCGTTTGTAACCCTGCTGTCCCACTGTAACCCTTTGGTTCAGTGTGTGACTGCTGATCTACTGCTCAGCTTACTTTCAGTTATGAATTCAAATAACCTGAGGATCTTCTATGTTTATATTCTTGGCTACAGAAATTTAAATTTTCCTGTTAGAGCTGGGTGACTTTCACATGAGCATTTTCTCTCTAGATGTAGCAGGGGTTTCTTCACACAAATCTAAAGAATAAGTGTACTTATGCAAATCTTGAGAATGAATGTATTGGCAAGGGAATTCTAAATAATTTTTTTCAAAACCCCCAGTTTATTAAAATGAAATTTAAAAAATCTAAAACCTCTACCAGAATAAAAACTGAATCAAAATTAATTGGTTGGGAAATAAAACTGCACAGTTCATTTAGTCATAACTAGAAAGAAAGATAAAAAATACGTTTGCACAGAAGTTATGCAGTCAGATCAAAACCTATTCACAGAAAATTCTAAGTGAAGAATATTCGCTACTAAATTTATTTCATAATGAATATGTAAGAAAGGCTTCCACAGCCTAACTTTTTCTCCCTTGCATTCACCATTGAGAAATCTTTTCTCTCTGATGGACTAAAGATGACAGCTATTTTTGACCATGTGTTTAGTTTAAAAATAATCCACCATAGTCTTTTTGTCATTTACCTCAGATAGCACTGTCCTCAGTCAGGAAGCTGCAGAAACATCCAGAAATGTTTTTATTTTTATTCAATATCTTTGCACATAATCTTTATTCAATATCTTTGCTGAACATCTTCAATGATATCTGCTCAATAGCAATTATATTCTTAAGTGTGTGGGCATATTGAAAATATTTCTAATTACATAAAGACTGTCTTTTCATTTCCTTGTGGTCCCCATCATCTGCCTCTGTCAGCACTGCCTTTCAATATGTGCTTAAAACTTTAAGCATTACAAGGCAGATGATATCTTGAAGTTCTGACTTTGCAAAGCACCTTGCATAAAGGGATCCTAATCCAAAACTAGGGATTCACCACCTATTGAAAATAAAAATTATAAGCAGAATCTGGAAGCCAAACTGGATAGGAAGCTTGTTTGCTAAATATTATGATTTATACTAAC